TCTGTGCTCTGAGTCTCTAAAGACCTGTGCTGGAGCTGCTGGGGGCCAAGTTTCCACCATGTGTGTTCACCATCTTGAGAGATTGAAGCCTAGAGAATGAAAGAGCAATTATAGCCTTTAGGCCTTGTTTTCAGGCATCTCTAAGGCAATTTCCATTTAAGCCTGGGATCTGTGACTCAACCATGGGCCTCCCTTTAGTGAGGTCCATTGAGTTGTCTTGGATTTTCAGCAAAGAACTCTTATGAAGAGGGGAGAGGGGTCAAAACAGGGGAGGGAAGGGCACAAGGGAATATGGTGATGAATCACGGGTGCTATGGTGATGGGAGGAATATGGAAACTACACCCGAGGGGAGAAATCAAATATGATACAAAAATTAATGACAATATAAGAAAATAAATAAATAAATTTAGCAAATTCTTAAAAAAAAGAGGCCTTTCTTTTTTCAGTTGCTTTCAGGTGACTCAGTGCCAAAGTGCTTTCTGTACTCTGGGATCCGGCTGGATCACCACTCCCATGCACCTCATTCCCCTACTGTTGTTCCATGCACTGCCGACACCCAGCCTTCCTGGCACCCAGGGTGATTGATTGACCAGGGCCCTACCACCTAACTTATCTCCTATAACTCCATGCTGCTTCCCTTATTCTCTTCCATTTGTCTATGTTTTTCATCAGAAACACTGTATATTCCTTTGAGGGCAAGAATATCTTTACCCCAACTCCTGTTGCCTAGTATTATAGTTCTCATGCAATAGGCCTCCATAAATATTGCTAAATAAATCAAATAAGAGCCTCTTTCTGACAGATCATCCCTGACTAGTGGGAGAAAATAAGCAAATTCTTTTTTATTCCTTTACTAGAGCAACTTGCAACTCTCTGGCTTTTCTTGCCATTTTACAGTCTATATTTCCCCTTTCTGTGTATTTTATGTCAGTACCTCACAGGCACTGCCCTGTGTTGTGATCGCTGGGTGTGGGGGGTGAGAGGGAGGTCTTCCTACATTCATCAGTTTCTCTGCCCAGTCATCACAAAAGCCTTTACAATTTGAGTTAAAGTTTGGTGTTGCATTGCATTTATTATGCATCTTGGGACAAAGTATCTCTTCCTTAATAAAAATTTGGGGATCACTCCTCCTTTGGTATTTATATTTGATTCAGGTAATTAGTCAATTTAACTTAGTTAAAAAATTCACATATGACATTCCCTAAATTCCAGACACTATTCTGAGCACTATATAGTAACAAGTTTCTCCTCATAGCAACCTTGTAGGTAGATACTGTTATTACCATCAGCCAAATGGTATAGTTGAGAAAATAAGGACAAAGAATGATTAAGACACTTGCTCAAATCACACAGCAGTTGGTGGCTAAGCTGGAATTTGAAAAAGAAGGATGGCTCTAGAACCCAGGTCTTAACCTCTGTATCCTTCAAATCTAAATTTCTTTCCTTAATGATCAGGTCCTGTGAGAGCAAGAAGTCTTGGCTTTACCTAATCGCAACTTCCCACTTGTGCCTAGTCAGTTTCCAGGCTGTTTGATTCATTGAAGACAGGTTTATTTATGCTATTCAACACAGTTAATTGTTCACATTGTAATCAACACCAGTCCAAAAATTTGGCTTCTCAAAATATATTTTCAAACAACCCAGGAACCATGCCAAGAATTAACTCTAATTACACATTGTACCAGTTTTGAAAACTAGAGATGACTCAAAGGCAAAATGTGTGTTATTTAAAATGATTAAACTGATAGTAAATAAAATGTGATTTTTGCCCAAAAGAGAGAGAAATAAAGTTGCATGTCCCTCTTCTCTTTTTATTGCCCTTTCTAGGTGTCTGTAATCATGTGACACATTATTTTCCTCATGATTTCTAGCCTTTTTCTTGAATTAATACATATCTGTTAACTGCCCATAAACCACCACTTATTATTCAACAACAAAATATCAGATTCTAATCCCACTCTGTGGGTTCACCGCCAACGAACAAAACAATTTTAAACATAAGACACTCCCTTATGTAGTCCTAATGACCTTCTTTTGCAGCTACCAACTCCTTTGGGTAGTTAGTCAGCTGGTTGGGCTTAGTTGTTGGTTCTTGACTTTAGCAGACCTTACACCCTATTTTATATTTTTTCTTCTTTTTTCTTTTTTTCTTTTTATTTTTCACATCATTGTTCATTTTTAAACAATATTTTCTTCCCCCCCACCCCCTCCGGTGTGGGGTGGGAGTTTCCATCACCAAGGCACCCGTGCACCATCACCACAGTCCCCTGTGCTCCTCCCTCCCTCCCTCTGATCCCTCTCCCTCCTCCTCCCCTGCAGGATGTCTCTGATTTATAATTGTCTGTTTTTGCTTTGTTGTGTTTTGTACTGTGATTATTTTTTTTTACATTGATGTCTTATTTGGTTCCCCTATATTCCTGCTGTAAGTGAAGCCATGCAATATGTTTTCTTTTCCCTTCTGGCTTATTTCACTGAGCATAATTCCTTCTAGTTCCATCCATGTTGCTGCAAATGGTATGAGTTTATCTTTTTGATTTCTGAATAATATTTCATTGTGTACATGTACCACATCTTCTTGATCCAGTCATCTATTTTTGGGCATTTGTGTTGTTTCCAGGTTTTACCTATTGTAAATAGTGCTGCAATAAACATAGGTATACAGGTGTTCTTTTGCATCAATCTTTTTGTGTCCTTTGGGTAGATCCCTAAGAGTGGAATTGCAGGGTCATATGGTAGCTCCATTTTTAGTAGACTGAGGAACCTCCAGACAGCTTTCCATAGTGGTTGGATCAGTTTGCACTCCCACCAGCAATGTAGGAGAGTTCCTTTTTCACCACATTCTTGCCAACATTTGTTGTTGCTTGTTTTTTTGATATGTGCCATTCTTACTGGCCTAACATCCTATTTTATAAAAGACATTTTATCCCCTTTTATGACATTTAAATGAAGATGATAAATAATGAAATCTATGTACAAAAATTTCAAAAAGTGTGTTACCCTAACAGTAATGAAAAGAGAAGCAACAAGAGAGTAATTAATAATGATATGCTAGCTAGCTATTTTACTCTGTAAATGCTCTGGTAGTATTACAGAAGGAGAAATAATAACTTGACAGACATTTTCACCTAATCTAGATTCATGATAATGTAATATATAAAATGGAATGTAATATGCAATATATGCAAAAGTAATATAGACTGACACAGATGGGCTGTATTGGTGATTCAAAGACCATGAATGGCATTGCAGATAATGGTATGCATGCCCAAAATGAAGAATAAGTTGTGGTAAATTTTTTAAGTAATAATATATTTTCTTCCCTCAATTTACCTACAAAATTCATCATACATTAAAATGGTATAAGCTGCTTTGTGTTTATATAAGATGGAGTTAGCTTCTCATGGAGATAATTTTTTTTAAGAGATCCCCCTTTTTTTTTTAAAAGATTTATTTCTTTATTTATACAAGCACTGGGTACAGTCAGAAGCGCAGGAGGGTGAGAGAATTCACCAGAGCCAGAGCAGGGAGCAGAGCAGGCAGAAGGACCGAAGTACACTGCTAAGGGAGCAGCGGGCAGCAGGAGAGGTCTGCGCGCCATGTGGGACCCTCCTCCGGTGGCCGGGGAGCAGCCGGGGGATCAAACCGGCACTGCAGAGGCTGCGGGCGGCTTCGCAACCCAGCGCTCAACCACTGCACCACCGGGAAGGCCCTCATGCAGATAATTTTAAGCAGATTTCCACCTATGTATATGTACAAGACATTCCAAATTCTGCAAGACACGGAGATATTTCCCTGTTGTGTAGAACTCTTCTGAGCTATTCTAGCTTCTGAGCCCTGCCTTCTACATACCATTCATGTCCTCAAATCATTGCCACTCAAGAGCAACCATCATACATTTCCCCAAGTGTCCTGTATCAGGTGATGCCTTCCATATTGACAACCACTGAGTTAATTCCTTATATTAGATTTAGCCCCAAATAATAATGATGGTGATTTATTCTCCTGGTTTCTTGTAGTCCTGAAACACCAAAGTCCTGTACAGTAAAATCCTCAGTAATTGGGGTGGTTATGAGATTCTAAGTTCCAGGAGACCAAGCTCTCGGTTCATCAGTGCCCCCAGCAAAGGCATGGCTGGACAGGTCTTGCTTGAATGAGTAAATAATGTGTGGGTTGGCTATCTGAGTAAGTGAAAACACACATACTGTTTAAAAGAAACAGTTTTGTTACTTTCACATCCATGTGACTAGAATGTGACTAGACCTACATGCTCTCCCCCTCCCCCCAGGGGGACATGTAGTTAATGATTATTTGGAAAGATCATTTCATTTGTGTCTGTTTGAATGAGTGACATTAAAATGTTCAGAAACATCTGGAACCTGTCAAATCCCAGAATATTCATGTCATTTTGAGTAGGAAATGGGAGCATGCTGAGGACCCTGTCTGAGCTGTGGCCTTGGCCTAAGAGCTTTGCTTGATCTTCACAGTGTTCCTTGAGGCAGTTGTTATTAACCCTGTTTTTGCAAAAGAGGAAATTAGGCTCAACAAGGCAAATCATCTGCCGGAAGTCAGATGTTTGCTGCAACAGCAGAACTGGGCTTGAACCCAGAATCTTCTGGTTCCAGAGGCTTCATCTTTCCTAAGACATTATGCTGCCCCACTTTCTTAAGTAAAGCAAAGCTAAGTTTCTGTTAAATCTACATCCAAAGGACCATGAATTATGGGTATGTGAGGTGCACTGTAGTGTAATTTTACTCTGTATGTAGTTCCAATTGTCATGTCTATTAAATTCCACTTTCCTTGTGATTCAGTGATTTTTTACATTCTCCTGCTCTTGGTTGGGTTCCAGCGCTGACGGTCTCAAGTGAGCTCACAGTAGTGGGCCCCCCAAGGACAGCAATAGTCCTCTTCCTTGTTGGGTCTCCAGGGCCAGTATGGGGCCTGGCATGTTCCAGGACTGTTTGTGGAGCTGACTATTATTCAGTGATGTTTTTCCTTTCAGGCCTTGGCCTTACACGATATTTCAGCGAGGCTTTGACCTGGTTTTGGGAGAGCAGCCTTCTGATAAAATATTCAGGTAAGTAGTTACCCAGGGACTTGCTGGTGTATGTAAGCCCATGTCCCACTTCCTTCTGAACTTTCTTCCCTAGTGGTAAAGTATAAAATGGGAAATATTTTGAGTTGTTCTGCCCTCCTCGGAACAAAACCACTTGCTTCTACATTATGCCTGGTGACAGCATGGGGGACTTTGAGGTCAGACAGATTCTGTTTAGGTCCTGGCTTCCTTTCTTGCCAGCTCTGTCAACCCCAGTAATTCACTTAACCTTTTGGAGCCTCCAGTTTCTGCTAAATGGGGTTATATTACATGCCTGGCTGTACTGTTGAGGAATGTATGAGATAATGCAGGGAAAGCCCCTGGCACAGAAACCGGCACAGAACAGACAATTAATGTCAATTTTTGCTTCTCCATTTTGCATCTAATTTGCACCTTCCTCATGAAGTAAAATTGTTCAAAATTAATCTCTCCCGCCCTTGCCTCCTCCTTTTCTCAGTTCTACTTCATTATTGTTTTCTTTTATCTACTACCATTCTCCTGATCAAATTGGATGTTTTCCTCCCAAATTTTTACCTACATACCTGGGAATAGCAAATATAAGAAAAGTCAATAATAAAAGGAAGAATTTTGTACCAGCCACAAACTATTGGATTTTCTTAAATTCACACGAGGCCTTAGCCAAGTCTATTTCCAAACTAAGGTCTTAGTTTATTTTGTTAAACTTTCCTTAACTTAATATGCCTTTGCTCAGTCTCTACTATGTGCTAGACTCAGTATGGACATGACTGCATCGCTCTCAATGCACAAGCCCTCTGGTAGGGGAAGCAAATTGCCCTGCATTTGTGCCTGAGGTCAAAGGATGAACTTAGCCACCACACCACATCGCTGGGAGTGGTGGACAGTGTGGGGCAAATGGAAAACACACTTTGTTTTCATAGAGGACACCAAGTTTACCTCTTCACTGCTGCCTTATCAGTTCCTTTCCCAAGCCATCCCCCAACCCCACCTTTCTCACCTTGTTGTTAATTTCACTTCTGCATCTGCCTGCTTGAATTGGCTCCTTTGCTCCAGCTTCTCCTTGCTGGCCTGGATGGACTGGTGTTGGCCATAGCAGTGTTCTCCTAAGGCACACATCTAACTTTTAAAAAAAAAATTGTTTTTATTTATGTATGCACATAAGAACTAGGGTGTAGGCCCGAGGTACACCCCAGAGGAGGTGAGAGGATTCACCAGAGACAGAGTGGGAAGCAGAACAGGCAGATGCACTGAAATACACTGCTAAGGGGAGCAGTGGGCAAGACAAGCAGAGGTCTGCTGCATCATGTGGGTTAGCTCCCTGGCCAGAGATCAAATTCATGCTGCAGTGGCAGGCGATAGCTTGGTAGCATTGAGACTTCAACCCCTACACCACCAGGGAGGCCCCAGCACACTTATAACTTCTAACTCGACTGCAGATTTACATAGCTGTAGATTTGCAGGCCCTCACAGGGCCTTCCAGGGCCTTCCAGGCCCTCTCATCTCCTGAATGTCTCCTGTAGGGCCAGCTGGGTCATGTTAATGGCATTGGCTGTAGGCTGCCTTGAGGATTTGTCAACTATATTCCTTATACTCTGAATCAGCCATTTAAACTTCCCAACAATGACTTCTCATTTGGCTGTTTTCTCCCTTTTTCCTAATGCTGGTCTGCCAGAACCTTCAAAGGGTGATAAAGATAAGGCAGATGTAGTGCCTGGTGGAGTCTGACTGATTCACAAGGGTATGTTCCCTCACCGCTGGTCATCAGAACCTAAAGCTTTGAAAAACAAGGCCTTTAATGAAATTGCCACTAAAGCAAACGTGCACAAGAGCTGTGTTTTATCCCATAAGCACTATTTGTTTTTTCTAGCTTGTTAGCTGTCAACTAAGGATGATTCCCCAGGACAGTAGAGGGAAGCAGTTTTGTGGTTTGACCCCCATACTCAACTATCTCAGGAGCTAATGGGTTATTTTTTTTTTTTTAAATAGAGGCATGTTTATTTATTTATTAATTATATTTGTTTGTTTGTTTTGTTTATACATGCACTGGGTACAGTCAGAAGCGCGGGAGGGTGAGAGAATTCACCAGAGCCACAGTGGGGAGCAGAGCAGGCAGAAGGACTGGAGTACACTGCTGAGGGGAGCAGCGGGTGGCAGGAGAGGTCTGCACACCATGTGGGATCCTCCTCCGGTGGCCGGGGAACAGCCGGGGATCGAACCGGCGCCGCAGAGGCCGCGGGCAGCTTCGCAACCCAGCGCTCAACCGCTGCGCCACCGGGGAGGCCCGCTAATGGGTTATTCAAAAAGTGATTCATCATTCTGTTCCCTAACATGATTAACTAGTTTCTCAAATGAAAGCAATGGGTGGTGATCTGCTTATTTTATGTACTAAGAACTTCAAACCAAACAACTTGGGATTTGAGTAAACTAACTACCTAGCAGTCATTCTGAAAAATTCCATGACCTTGTCAGAGATTTTAATTTCTTAAAGAAGTTAATGACTATTTACCTGCTACTTCTGCTTACTTGTAGTTTAGTGTCCTGTGGAATTCCCAGCCACTGCCTATTTCCCTGGACTATGAAATAAGATTTAAATTCTGATATTCCAATCCTTCCACAGTTGAATGCCAGTGTACAATCTTCTCATCATAAACTGCTCTTCTACTATAGCTCCTTACTTTCTTAGATCTATTTTCTAACTAACCCACTGTCTCCTCCAGCTCTGCACGTTTCTTCATATTTTTATTCTAACAATAATGAGTATTGTCCTGATATAAATACTAGCTGTTTTAATGGTCTAGATGAAGTCTCAGCTAAAACCATCATCTACTGAGTGTGAGTATGAGTGCTTTTTAAAACATTCTACTCTGTACACAGGATTGAGAAACACTGTTCTAAAGTTTCTCTGGTGTCCTGCACAATCCACAATGACTTTTCTCCCTCCAAATTTCTGTAATATACTAAATGTACTGTTAATCTGACAATTATTTTATTTCATATTTCATTTCATTTACCTGTTTGTTTCCCCCAATGAGTAAATGGTTGTCTTCTTGTGTACCCTACATGACTTTAAATACTTAATATCTGACAATCAATGTTGAACTTACTAGGTCTTCAATAAATATCTGTAGATAGTCATTTCCTAAGGACTTGAAACTAGCTAGACTAGAAAAAGACATTGATACCCAACCTAACTGTGACCATGTGCAATGCCAAACCACCTGGGGCTGGTTCAACTTAGACTCAAAGGCACCAAAAGGACCCCGAACATCTGGAATTAGTCTTCTCACCAAGCCAGTCTGGTGCTGAAGCTGTCCTGTCCATGGTTGCCAGGGCCATTCCATCCACTAGACTCTCTGGTGGCCAGAGTAGCCTAGACCAAATCTGACCCTTAGAAACCTCCTTCCCAAGTTTGTAGCTGCATCCCTGGGACCAATATCTCATCTGGGAATGGCCTGCTCTGGGAAAGAGTAAAGATGGAAGGCCAAGAGCTATTTACCCCGCATTCTAATTCATGCCAAATTACCACGAGCACACAAGCTCACTCTGTCCAGTGCTTTCTGGAGATTATTTGTCTCTGAACAGTCATTTCAAACAAGTTCTAGTTCAGCAGAGCTGGATGCAGGGCCCAGCCTACAGCTGAGCCCTGGACTGTGGTGATCACCACCAACTGTCACAAGAGCAAGCCCAACTTGGAAAAGCATTCCAGATGCTCGCCCAACTTCTCTGTTGTAGCTTTTGAAGTCATTTCTGCCAAATCTGCATGAATGAGGGACAGATGAGATTTCAGGACACAGCTTTTTTCTGACAGTTTGTTCTATATTTGGTTTTTGGAGTTACTCAGTAGATTTTGCAGATAAAAGAAAACTTTAGGATTTCATAGGCATGAGCCAGCATTGGACTGGTAAGCTGCTGTGAGCTACCCTTGAGAAAGAGACCCACCCCCCTATCTCCCACATGTGCAGAGGTGACCTTGGGAAGCTTGCTAAACTTCTTAAAATATTAGTTGACAAATTGGTAACATTTGTCAGAGGTTGGTTGTGAGGATAAATGAGGTGGCTCTAAGAGCACCTGCCTCTTAGGGAGTTCTCTGGAAAGGTTTCTTTTCATCTCACACCTGACTTTGCTTCCCCTACATGGTTTCACCTTGACACTCAGCAAAGACTGAAGACTATTTTTCTTGTTAACTTGGTAGTGTTTCAGAAGCTGCAGTGCTCCTAGAAAGTTCTTCACAATATCAAACCCACATCCATCTTGACCATTAGGTCCATTAAATTCAGAGGTTAACCCACATTCTACTCTAAATGAAGGATAATTTTTACCACCACTTCTATCTTTATATTTGAAGGTTGAGTTTCTGTCCCCTAGTAGCCATCAAGCTATAATTATTTATGGATCAGTCAATAAATAATTATAGTCACCCTCTTGGGGAAGAAATTGTGTTAGGCAGTGGGGAAACAAGGACTATCCAAGAAAGCGAATTCGTCTGTGTACATGGTGATGGACAGACGGGCAGATGGGCACAATCCAACATCTCAGGGTTGACAAGGACCATGAGCATGTACACAGAGCAGTCTTTTACTCAGCCAGAGGGTTGAGTGTGAGGCCCTGGAGAGCTTTCTGGAAGGAGTGGAACCTTAACTGAGTCTTACAATGAGTGAGAGTCTAGTAAAGAATAGAGCTAAGAAAATTCAGAAAGAAGGAATATTAAGAGCAAAGGCAAAGAGGTGAGAAAATTAGGTCTTTAAGAACTGCAGATTATATTGTAGGAACACAAAGTGTGACACAGGATTTGGTGGAAGAAGCCAATGAGGGTGGGAACAATATCTCTGGAGACATGAACTTTATTCCATAGGCCCGGGGTGTCTTGAAACACTTTCATTTGAGAAGAGATGTAGCTTACTTTTCCCTTCAAAATATTATTGCTTGTAGAGGAGGAAAAGAATGACATGGATTTCTCTCTCTTAAAGAAAAACTAACTGTCAGAAATATGGTAGGACTGCCAATAGTTTCCTAAATCTGTTACATAAATTATAAACTACAGGTCACAGATTGATTGCTCTGCATCAATGCAAAAATTGTAATTTTGAAAGCAAAATAGTAAACAAACATCTTAATGTCTAAATAAACTGCCTCCTCCTGATACTGTTCAAACTTGTGTATGTTCTCTCTGGAACAGCATATAATATTACTAGTGGTGCTCTCACACCAGTCTGCTTGTTATAATATCACTGTCTTAAGAATGACCATTATCAAATGCAGAGTGAGCATAAACACTTGCATGTTGTTGTCTCCAGCCCACATTCATCCTTACGTTCCAGATCCCAGTCACCTTGAGGCAATCACTTGCCCTGAATTGGTTTGTTCATCATACCAATTGTGTGTGTGTGTGCGTGTGTGTGTGTGTGTGATGCTATCACAACTTTGATTTTGCTAACTATTCACAAAAGAAAGAAGTGGATTGTCTCCTCTTATGTCCCCGTTCTTCTTCCCTCACCTGGTGCAGAACCCCCTGCATAGACCTAGTCTCTACCCTGGTCTCATGTCCCTTTGGGTGGCAAGAGTTGAGTGCCTCCTTCAAAGGTATTCCCTGCTTTTCCAAAGTTCACATTAGGCCACTGCATTTCACTTTAATGAAAGACTGACATTAGTCTCTGTTTTCACTAGCCAAAAAAAATCAGAAGAGTGATTTTTGCTTTTTTCTTAAAAGCATTTGGTATTTGTTTTGCAGCAGCCATTATAGTGGATGCAGCAGCCCCATCAATTCCTTCCCCATAATTATTTTATATAGTGTGTGTATTTTATCTTATCATTCCTGCCTTCACTATGTGTTAGTGTGAATTTAGCTTTTATATATTATGTGGTATGATTTGATGGTTATTTTTTAAGTCTGGTAATGTTCCAAACATTTTCATATAAATTAATGGTAATTGCTTTCTCAGTTTACTCCATTTGGGCTAACGTAAGGTTTCACAGGAATGCTCCACTTTGGGATATAGGGGAAACCTGTATTTCAATGCTGCTTAATATAGAGATTTGCCCAGCAGGTTAGACAAGTAGGTGATCAAGCTTAATGATGGGTTGGGGGAGAAATCGCCTCACTCCTGGCCACATCCATTGGCTTTGTGATTTGGCCTTTTCCCTGGTTATCCCATGCAGTTAAACTGGTCTCCACTTTCCCCTCTTTGGATGGCTCTAGCTGCTAAGGGACTCTTTCCATGAGTGGGTGAATATTGCCTGGCTTAGCTGCTTGGAACTCATAGGCCTCGGTCAGTGGGTATCCTCTGTGGCCTGCACACTGGAGAGAGCTGCCTTTCTCATAAAAGAGCTCATGTCATCAATCTGGTTTCCTAGCACTTCAGCCAACCTGGGAAGCAGAGATGGGAGCATGTGGTCTAGGGTAGAGAAATGAGCAGCATTCTGAGATGGTGCGGTGACCAGCATGCTAATGGAGCCAGTGCTGGCTTCTGTTTAATAGTATGCATCCTTTCATTGTTCCTCCCTCCACATTAAGTTGGAAGGGCCCGCCAGACTGCCACAACCTCATGATATCCCACCCACACTGGCTTTTATCCCATAGACTTATTTTTGACTGTGAATACAGAGCATTTGAAAGACTTGGAAATAAAATTAATGAATAAATAAACAAATAATCTCTCATGGTTTCCTTAAGCTCTCCATTGAAATGCTTATTGCTTCTTTTATTCCTCTTAGCCCTTGTTATAAGAATTAAAAAAAAAAAATCTTCCTGTCTCCCAAGGGTTAGCATGTTAGCTACCAGTGTGGGTAGGAACACTGAGAATACATCTGGGCTTGTCTGTTCCCCCTGCTTCTCTCCTCCCCGGGTACTCCTGGCTTCAGTCATTTCTGTTTCCATCACAAGAAACCAGAAGTGGGGAGCTTTGCTCTTTCCTCTTCCTTGGTAGTGTTCCTCCGGGCACAGAGAGAAACCACCCCTACCACTGTGGGTGTGCAACTGAGGGATGGGATGGTGGGAGGCCAGCATGTCTCTTCAATTCAAATGCTTCCAAATATATCTGACTTAAGACAGGGGGAGTCCAGCTTCAAATCTGAAGGAAACTGGAACTTGCATTATTTTGACTTGGTAAAAACCACTTCTCACAGCTGGTGAGTGGGAACCATAATCAGTTTTCCAACTGTCTGGCCATGTGAGCAGGAGAAGGCCTCTCTACATCCCTCAGACTCAATCATCTCATCCATGAAATGGCAGTAAGCCCCTTTCTGGAAAGGACCCCGGGAGCCAAGAAGGAAGCCACTGGCAGGAGAATGCAAGTCCTGCAGTAGGGGAGGCTCCCCCCAGTCAAAACCATTTATGTTGGGTGTCGCTACAGGTTTACCTACACCCTCGGGGAGGGCATGTGGTTGCCCCTCAGCAAGAGCTTTGTCATCCCACCAGCTGAACTGGCCATCAATCCATCAGCAAAGTGTAAGACGGACATGACGGTGATGGAGGACGCTGTGGAGGTCAGGTGAGCCTAACCTCAGGATGCTGAGGCTGCACTTGACTGGGGAAGCTGATGGAGAAACTACCTGCAGGTCCAAGGTGCTGGGAAAGGAATCATGACAAGCAGAAAGGAGAGGTTGGCAGGTTGCCTGTAAATTCCCCATATGCAATGCCAGGAGCTACACTTTATCTGGGTCAATACTGCACACCCCAAGGCTCATGCACTGGGAAAGGACATAAAATTAGAGTTTGCAAGCACTTCCCACATCCTCTAAGGACTGACAGGCAATAAAATGTTAATTTCCCTGCCCAAGTCTAGACCTCCTTCTTTGACCAGGCGTTACAGCCTTGGCTCATTTCCCAGATATGGAGAATGTCCATAATTTGTTAGTTCAAGGCTTGAAATATGCTTGATCTTTCCTTTTTGTAAGAGGGAGTGAGACACAACCCAGTTGGCCAGATAGGAATGTGAGAAATGGTGCTACCTGTTGCACCCTGAGTCCCCTTGACTCCTGCCTGCCTCCTGTTCTTTCTCCCTTCAGAGAGGAACTGATGACCTCGTCCTCCTTCGACAGCCTGGAGGTTCTCTTGGATTCCTTCGGGCCAGTTCGCGACTGCAGCAAGGATAATGGAGGCTGCAGTAAGAATTTCCGCTGCATCTCAGACCGCAAGCTGGACTCCACAGGTTGTGTGGTATGTCTGCCCTGTCAACTATGCAATTTTAGGAGGGGATACCCAGCATAAGACCCAATCCAGGTCAACAGAGAGAATTGGTCTCCAAACCTGGGAGTACAAGACAGGGTCAAGAATGACAACTCAGGCCTCCCAGGTGGCCTAGGGGTTAAGTCTCAATTCTATCACCCCAACGGCCTGAGTTCAATCCCCAGGCAGGGACCTAATCCACATGGCGCAGCAGAACTCTCCTGTCTCGCCCGTTGCTCCCTTCAGCAGTGTATTCAGTAAATCCTCTTGTTCTGCTCCCCATTCTGTCTCTGGTGAATCCTCTTACCTCCCACACCTCTGACCTACACTCCAGTCCTTCTACACAAAAAGAAAGACAACTCCCTAGTTATAATCATCACCCAGTATGTATAGACACCCACTATATGCACTGTAACCATCTAAGGGAAATTTCATCGACTAGATAGCATGGTTATTTTCTTTTTTCAGTCTTGTGTTCTAATTGATGAGGGATAGTTCAAATAGGTTGAGAATGAATTAATTGCTGAATAGTTTAATAATATTGAGTCTAATAGAAAATGGACTATTTAATAGAAAATGCTAGCAGAAACCCACCTATGGCTACAATCAAATTATATTGACTATAATTGGAATTTTTAAGAGTAACCGAAATAAGGCCAGAATGATAAAAGAAGTAAGTTACTTCAGGAATGGTAAAATAAATAAAAAAAAATAAGTGAATATGTCTTTTCAGACCATGTCAATAAACTCTCACTTCACTAAAGGTGACCTTTACTTTGTTATAGGTTAGACGGACATTGACTACCTTTAAAGTAACAGAAAAAAACTTTTTTTCTAAAAAGATTTATTTATTTATTATTTATACAAGCACTGGGTACAGTCAGAAGCGCGGGAGGGTGAGAGAATTCACCAGAGCCAGAGCAGGGAGCAGAGCAGGCAGACTGACGAAGTACACTGCTGAGGGGAGCAGCGGGCGGCAGGAGAGGTCTGCGGGCCATGTGGGACCCTCGCACGGCGGCCAGGGATCGAACCAGTGCTGCAGAGGCTGCGGGCAGCTTCGCAACCCAGCACTCAACCACTGCGCCACCGGGGAGGCCCAGTAACAGAAAATTTTTAACCAGGGTGACTATTTGGGTTAATGTGGACTAAGATATACCCCATTCCATGGATATTAGAGTGAATTGAGCCCACAGGGGTATGGCTGCAGGACCAGCTGGAACCATTGGCTCCCAGTGTCTTCATGTTGTTCATTTTCATGTCCATCAATATGACTGTGTTTCCCGCTCTCCCCTTTTAATGACACAGTCCTCAGAGAGGAGAGTGAATAGGGCACAGAATGAAGCAGGGAAACCTGGCCTAAGGTTGGCATAATGAATAGCAAAAACTGACTCTGAGAAGCAGTTCTGCAGTGGCCCTGTGCTGGGCCTGGAGCTCCCAGCTCTGGGAGGATACGGTGCCCCATCTTCCTGCCTATCTGATAGCTGCACTCTCGTAAGGGGGCCCAGAGCAGGAGCAAGCAGTAGGATGCTGAGTCAATGTCATTTTTCACACCACCCCCCCTCATCTTCCAGCACCTGTGCTGTCCAGGGAGCTGCACCCCATCAAAGACAAATGCACTCCTGGGACCCAGGGTGGGATACTCTCAGCCCTGAGGCTCCCTCAGACTTTCACAGATTAGGCAGCAGGGACAGGGGCCTAATTCATGAGAAAGTAGAGATGATGAGGAGGGAAAGGCGGAGGTGGGGGGGGTGGCAGTTAGGCTGAGAAACGGGCAAGGCCATCAAAAGGAGGGGAAAGCAAAGACAAAATGAGCAGGATAACTATAAATCAGAGGCATTCAGCAGGGGAAGGGCAGGGAGAGGGATCCAAATGGCAGGGAAGAGTGCAAGAGTCTATGGTGACAGTTCACGGGTGTCTTGGAGGTGGTAATTTTACAGGGACACCTGAGAGGAGGAATCAAATATTGTACAAAAATGAACTATGATGTGAAAATATATAAATAAAAATGAAAAAAACAAAGGAGGGGAAAGCAGAGATAGTGGCCTCTCAGGAAATGCAAAGAGGGGCACTAGAGCACACATCTGAGGCAGCCAGGGGCACAGTTATGTCCTGCAGTGCAACCCTCCCTTTGGCTGGTCCACTTGCAGGTGTCTTAGGCAATGAGCTTCCCAACTGGGTGCTCCAGGAGACAATTTCAACGTCTAATGCAGCTCCAGGCTGAGATCCCTTTTTTACTTCATTTTTTTTTTTACAATTCAACCTGCATTTCTTCATCCCTGCGTTATTCCTTCAACCAGATTCAACTTTTCATTCCTCATTACTCTCTCAGGGTCATTCTAAGTACTGAAATGCCATGTGTGCTCATCCCTCCCCACCCCAACCCTGTCACCCACCGCAAATTAGGGAGACTCACACATTCACACACAGACTCAGGGATCTGTCCTCATCTCTTCTCACTGCTCTGCCCCTTTGCTGAGCCCCTAAGGATTTGCTTGTCAGATACCTTCTGTTGGTGATCCTAGCCCCTTGTGCTTGGCATATAGCCATGCTGATATATTTTTGTACTTTTAACTGTGATCTGTGAGACGGAGCTAGCAGGAATAGTTCCGATGAATATGCATTTGCAATAAGACTGCATTTCAGTATGGGAGCCACAGCAGAAAGTCACCCAATTATACCACTGCTTGGTATTAGCATAATACTTTGAAGTCACTGGTCTGAGTGGCTTCTGGAAGAAGGAGGTGGGGGGGTCAGGGGACGGGCTGTCTATTCAGTTGGCTTTCTCCCTGGTTTTGACATGAGAAGGATGATGGGTTGAGAGCTGAGTTGCCACATCGTGACCCTTGTCACCCACTGGGAAAACCAGTACTTTACTTTGAGCATGATCTGACTCTGTGAACATCAGTACTACCCCAAAGGCTAGGTGTGATGGCAGAGTGGACCCCCGTCCTTTGGAGGAAGGTCAGGGACATAGGTATCAGCTGTACTAACTGCAGTTTGGGCAGAAATGGGCTGCAGCCCTCCTGCCCACTTAAACCTAACCTTCATATCTCCGGAGGCTGAAAGGCCTTAGAACTTAGAACATGCTCTCCCTAAGGGACTCAGGAAAGAGGTGGAGATGTGGGAAAAGAGAGAGAGTGTACCCCTCTATTTCCGTCATTGAATTCAAGCCAGACAAGTGGGATTGGTCCAAATGACCAATGGTCCACAACCCCCATTCTTTCTAGGAAGACAGGGCACAATTCTCAGACATGCCTGAACTCCCCTAGGCTTAATTGCTACCCAGTTAATTGCCCTATTGTTTATGTAGTCTCTGAGGACAAGAAACAAATTCCCAAAAGGCACAGACCAGCCACAATCACTCCATTCAAACCAGACCACTTTGCACAGTAGGATGCTGACCCCTGGGGAGGTTTCCAGAGCAGATGGCAGCTAGTTCCACCCTCTGCCTGGTCTGCTTCTGTTCTTACTGTGGCCTCAGTAGGAACAACGGTCCCTACCTGGAAGGCACATGTGCAGCCAATAGCAGTTGATTCTCTGGGGAGCCCTGTGGGACCCTTCAAAGTTATTGTGTTAGTTTCCAGTTGCTATTGCAACAGATCTAGTGGCTTAAAGCAACACACATTTATTATCTTATTGTTTTGTAAATGATAATCCAATACAGGGAATATAAAACTGAATCAAATATAAGACTGAAACCAAGGTGTTGGCAGTGCTTTGGTCCTTTCTGGAGGCATGAGGGCAGAATCTATTGCCTTGCCTATTGGGGTTTCTAGAAATGCCCACATTTTTTGGCTCACAGTTCTCTCCTTCCATCTTTAAAATCACCTACATTGCATTTTCCTGACCATTCTTTAATACCACTTCCTTCCCCCACTCTTAAGGACTCATGTGATTACACTGGCTCACCTGGATAATCCAGGATAATCTCCCCATCTGAAGATCTTTAATTTGATCTACAAAGCTGCTTTTGTCATCTAAGGGGACAGGTTCACAGGCTCTGGGGTTTATGTGACTGATAGTCCTGGGGGAGATGGCAGTGGGAACTGGAGTAGACTTGAAAGCCAGGGCTCCAGTCTTCCCACTACCAATCTAAACCAGGGCATCTCCATTCTTAGCAAGCCTCCCTATTGAGGTTTATTATAAACATTGGCAGTTTGAAAATGACTTATAATACTATTTTAAAAAATAAAAGGAAAGCTCAACTTTAATACTCCATCCTCATCACATTCATCCTGAAAGCATCCCATCCCCACAAAATGCCTTTGCCTTGTGAAGTATGTGTGTGCATGTACTGAAGTGAGCAGAGAGCAGCCTTCAAGGAGTGAGGTCGACTGCCCTGCTTTCTCCTGTACTGAACACTTGACCTTCCTCGCCAGAGCATATTATGTTCTAATGAGCTTTGATTACCCAGTGACCTTGACGCCCTCTGTGCACTATCCACAGTGGTTTCCCAGGATATGTGTCATTTCCCCTCCACTGGAGCGCAGATGTGCAGAGACCATTACATATGACCACCTCTCTTTCTCTCTTTGGACAGGAAACAGAAAAGTATACCTCGGAGGTTTTCTAAGAAATGGGGGGCAGGAAGCTGAAATATAAATTTAATTCCATTCCATCAATTTTTTACCCCCCTGGGAAAAGTCCTTTGTGGCTTGGCCTTGCATGTCAGAGCCCTTCAAAAAGTCAGGAAGATCATTTTTTGGGAAAGGACTAATAAGACTGCCATGCAAGTAGAAGAGAACTTATTTTAAGTAGGAATTATGGCTGCCTGTCTTATGAATCATCCAGGTAAGGTGAGGCAGGCTCAGCTGCAGAAAGTCATTCCTTGTCACCCACAGGCCCTGAACATGCTTACCTGTCCATCACTCATATTCATTTGCTAACAGAGCATCCACTCCATGCAACTGAGGTGTGTGTGTCTCAGGCTTAGTGAGATTTAACTAGACACTGAAGTAATTAATCAACCAAAAATCATTGGTGGGAAAAAAAGGGAAAGATGTTGAAGAAAAGGCATTGTATGGGGGAAATCATTTTAATCTCATTAGCAAATTATGCCTTAGACCAGTAATACGTCAAGGAGCCATGAGCATCTCATGAAAGATGATTAACCTTGTGTATTTTAGGGGTCACTGAGATATGAGCTCATTTATTAGACCTTCTTGATGAGGGGGGGGTGCCATAATAAATGGAGTTTTCTTCTTAAGCTTGTAGTTTATAAAGGCCCTGGGACTGTTTGATGTAACCTATGCAAAGAAGGGTTAATGTATGACTTTGGGGCTCAGTCCTGTCCAGTTCTCTTTTAAGGAACAAATGGAGGGATTGTCCACAAGCCAGAAGAGAAAGACCAGTGCTTGCAAAGAGAAAATGCCAGCTCCTCCTGGAGGCAGAATTTCTGACATTTGGACTGTGGTTGCAAATACTTCCAGGAAAAGAGCATGGGTTGGAACCTGTAGTTTCTTTGTATATAGATAATTTTGAAGTACCCAGAAAGTGACTATAACAGCACCAGGAATATACAAGCAAAAACAAACAAAAAATATATAATGGGATTCTTGATTAATTCAGCTCTTTGGGGAATGGGTGTTCTAGTTCCATAAGGGTTAAAAAGAAAACTATTTTTGATTCCCTTTCTTCTGGAAATCTTCCACAAATGTTCTACTCTGAACTGCAGCCCAAGTAAGTAATGGTGCAGTAAAGATAATTACATCTTTTTTTTTTTATGATTGAGGATATTGTCTTGCTTTCAAGGTCATTGCGCTGGGCAGTTTGCAGTGTGTTGCCCAATGACTATTTGCATTTATGTCCATAATATGGAGTTTGTGTGTGAGTGTGTGTGTGTGTGTTGAAGAGTGGGGCCAGGGGGTGACAGAGGGAGAAATCTTTGACTGAATTTTCAAATCTATAATTGGTCCCAGAATGTACTCTGGGAGTTGCATAAAACAATCAAACACCAAATCTACAGGATTGCTTTGCCTTGTTAACACACTGACTTTATTTCTTTCAGGATTCTAATTAATCTAGGTTTTCTCACACTTGAGAAGCAGCATGGAAGGGATACACTTGAACTTTGTGGTCAGACAGATCTAGGTCCTAAGTCTGATTCTCTCATTTTTCACCTCTGTGACCGCAAGCAAAATATGACTTAATCCTTCTGAGTGTCAGTTTGCTTATCTGTTAAAACGAAGTGGGAAAAGTCTTCCTGTATTGCTGGAATTAAAGATAATATGTGTAAATTGTCTAGCAGGTAGAATTGCTCTATTTTTGGTAGCTATTATTACTTTTAGCTTTGCTTATAAGTGAAAGAAATCCAGCTTGGATGAGGCAGCTAATTCTCTTCTCTCCAAACCTCCTAGGAGAGTGTAAATATCAGCTGGTCCAATTTGTGACACCAGAGGTCATCTAGACATCAGATCCAGGCACAATGTGAATATGCCAAGTTTCAGAATTCTAGAACAAAGCCTGCTTATGTTGTATTTGTTGAATCTTTGTCAAAAATCATACTTGATGGGCATTCTTGGTAAAAAAAAAAAAAAAAGCAGGTAGTTGGGAAGATGAAGCTCCTGGATGGCCACTGACATAGCCAGGTCAGGAAGGGTTGAGGGCACATGAGGCAGGAGTAATAGGAGGACTGGCTTTGTCTCTACTTGATAGCTTTTTACAACTTTGTAGAAAGGGGAAAAAAGAACTAATGGCAACCAGGGCAGACCATGTAATTCCAGTTAACTTCTGTGTTTCAATAGCCACATCTACGCTTGGGCGGCCTCACAGTGGTGAAGCCAGCTTCCTTCTGGTGGCACATCTGGCTGAACAGCTGGATGGCCAAGAAAGGGGATGGGTGGAGGGGCTCACAAAACATGGGGTGCAATCCTCAGCTGCCTCATTTGCTTGTTTACTATCATCTGGAACATCTGGGTTTGCACAGCACGGAGCAGCCCTTGGATACTTCTTTAAATGCTGTCACCTTCCAGTGCTCCAGCTGGCTGCATGGCACGAAAGGGGATGGACCAGGCTGGGAGCCTGGCAGGCCCACAGGGGGGCCATTTGTTTGGGAAATTGCAGAATTAGTGTCAGCTAAACAGTGCACATCCTGCTGTGAGCTTCCATTGGGAAGCAGAGGGGGAGGAGAGGTGGGTTTTCAGAAACACACCTGCAGCAGCGTGGGGATGCTGGGCTAAGGTGCTTAGCAGCTAAGAGATAGAAGGGGGAGGTGTTTAACACAGACTTCATCAAGTTTTGAAAGTTTTGTTTTCTTTTGGGTTTTGGAGGAGCAGGCTAGCTAGCTGACAGTAGGTGTGAAGCACAGTCATTAAAAGCCCAAGTGCCTAGTCAGATCTAGACAGACCCCCACCACCACCCCGCCCCCAGCACTCATCACTGTAGCTACTTGACCCTGGGCAAGTTCTTTGCCTCCTTCCTGCCTGTTAGAGAGAATTGTCACTCCTGCAAAAGTGCAGTATGTGTTGCACTGATAGAAAAAGTAGGATGGCCACATACACAAAAATATTCTTTAACTTTTAGGAGTCCAGGGTAGTTGGTTGTTGTACTGATTAAATGAGGCTCATATAGGGTACTGTGAGATGCCATATGTAAAGCAGATAGCTTAGCAACAGCTTCTAGGAAGGGTCCTGTAAACAGAAGCTGTTGTGTGAGAGCTTGATCATGGTGGAGGCTCATGATGGAGCAGCTGAGTCACTGACCCCACTGCCAGCCTGCCCGAGTTCCCATGCACTGCTGCTGGGATCAGCCATGTCACTCCAGGAAGTTAAGCTCTCTGTGCTCGGGTTTCCTCATATATAAAATAGGGATGATCACACAACAATAAGTCCTCACTTAAAGGTTCTTAGAAACTGACTTTACACAACAGCCTATCACAAATGTCCTCAAATAACATGAGTTAGCTCAATAGTCTCCTGGGATTTCTCTTTTCTATAATGAAATGACATTGAAGTAAATGATGTTATTTAACGATCTGCTTTACTTACCTCAAGGGGGATGTTGTGAGGATTAAATAAGTAAGATCCTCTGCCAGGCATTGGAAGGAGACCCCCAAGCCCTCCTGCTCACCCTGCCCTCAAGCCCCTTGGTCTTTCCTGGGGTCTGGCTGACATCTCTTCTTGGATTATCTCCTTTGCTGAAATTCTTGTGGGGTTTATTGAGGATATGGCAGTGCAGAAAAGTTAAATGTTTCATGTTAAGTGTCCAGGGAACTGGGATGAAACGCAGCCCAAGTGCAGTAACTGTGGGTGTTCATATGTAGGTGCCCTTCTGTGCAGTCCACAGGGGACCCTTGATAAGTAAGGTCAAGAGCATGATTGTTAGGGGGAAAGGATGTCCAAACGCTATACAGGCTTTGTGGACTCCACCCCCATGCCATCAAGACACTGGGAACTACAAATCCCATGATCACCAAAGGGAAGGTTGCGAGGACCTGAGGGCAGAATTAAGCAACTAGGCTCTTGGTTTGGGTATTTAACTGGCCGGGGTGTGTGTGTGTGTGTGTGTGTGTGGTTTGCCCTGTGAGGTGACCACTCCCTTGATGAGCAAGATCAGACAAACCTCCCTCAAAAGTCACAGAGCAATCTACTTCCTCCTTCCGGCTCCAAGCCTGTCTCGTCCATTCTCTCCAGCACTTTTGTCTGGAACCAACATTAACAAAGTGCTTTGGACATTTCAAAAAAAAAAATTGTTAGTAATACTTAGTCCAAATCACAGCACGCCCTCTTGTTAGCCTAAAGGAATCTCTGCTAATGTATTTTAATTCTGGCCCATGACTTCCGGTCTCCTGCCCGCCCAAAGCCCAATTGGGATACAAGCACACCTTCCTCCATCTTGCTGCAAAGCTTCCTTCCAGTCGTTTGGAGGAATCAGCTTAAATGAAAATGTGTGTGATCTGTGCCTGGAGAGAAGAAAGAAGATGTCAAAAAAAGGTCACTTACCTTTAAAAGGAATTCTGAACAATGGGAATTTGCATATGACTTGCCAGTGTTAATGGTTTCCAGGATGAGTGCTAACAATAGCTGACAGTGGTTACATGCTGGTTCCCAGAGAACTCGGTCCCTGACTTACCCCGCAGTGTGCATGCTTTCTGATTGTGCCAGTGCCCCTCCGGACTCAGCCCCATGAAGGACAGCTCTGGCTGCTATGACCGCCACATCGGGGTGGACTGCTCGGACGGTTTCAACGGCGGCTGCGAACAGCTGTGTCTCCAGCAGATGGCGCCCTTCCCAGAAGACCCCGCCTTGTACAACATCCTCATGTTCTGCGGGTGAGTTGAGCTGGCTGGCCGGGATGCTGGACACTCCATGCTGAAGCCACGGAAGTCCATCTGAATGCACTGGGCACCCGAGGCCAGCTCTTAGGGTCTGAGGAAGGAGCCTGCAGGACTGGAAGAGAAACACTGTTAAAGTAACCCTTAGGGAAAGTGTAGTCTCAGCTCCCCAGCTGAAGAAATGGAGCGCAGGGTTTTCCCAAGTCATTGTCTGCTTAAACCAGAATTTCCCAAACTGTGTTTTGTCGACCTAGGTTAATTAGGTATTTTGTGACCAAAGGATTCCGTGGTTCAAAAGCTTGGGAAAGAATGCACACTGGTTAATTATCGAAGAAATGGAGAGGAAGTGTTTGGAGGCGTGGAAGCATAATTACATTCTCCCCTCCAAACCCCAGCATTTTGTACAACCACTCCCCTCAGAGGTAGGATCCCTTCATGTAGTTAAAGAGCCTTTTGACGACTTTTATCTGCTACATCCTATTTGTTTCTCAGGATAAGCCCATGTGGAAACAGGGCAGGCAATGCCATCCGTTTTACAGATGAGAAAACTAATGTACAGAGGTTATGTGATTCCCTCAAGAGCAGAGTTGGTAGGGGGGACAATTATAAGCCCTAGAATACAAGCCCTCCTGGTTAAAACAAAAAAAAAATCTTCCATTTCCTCAAAGTTAAATTAGCATCCCTGATTGGAATTATATTTAGAGATTGTTCCATGATATATTTATAAAGCAAATAATGATTTGGCCCATTCTTCTGCCCCCATAGTTTGCTTGTATAGCTTTCCTCCTCCTCTTACTTCCACTTCCTTGTCCCCTCCTCCTTCCCTTTGGCCTTTCCCCTCCCTTTCTGTCTGTCAGGGAATGCCCTTCTGTTATGTCACTTTATCATCCTGGCCACTAGACCACAGAAATGAATGGTGAGTAGCTCTTGCCCTCAAGGATCTCACAGTCTAATAGGCTTGCAATGAAAATCAGTGCTCATAATAATAAAGCTATGCTGGATTGTTGCTAAAAGCCAGTGCCTGCTGAATAATCAGGAAAGAAATTATTCAGTGGAGTGGGAATGCTTTTTTATTGTACTTCATTTTATTTCTTTGCAATTGAGCAATTTTCATATTCAGTTTTTTATATAGTCCTGTTTCATAAATGGAAGCTTGTTCTGAATTTTCACATCTCTGTAACATTATTATGGTTGACCCACTTCAATTAATAGATGTAAACTTTTAGCAAAAGTTACACAGATTTATTTACTTAATGAACATGTATTGAGTACCCACTTATGCAGAGGACCTCCTTACATATCAGATGCAGTGGAGACAGCAGGAATGAGATCTGGCCCCTGCCCTCAAAGGAGCTCACTGTGGAACACATGCCATAAACACAAAGAACTGGCAAGACCAGGCAATGTGAGAGGAAAGCTGCCAAGTGCACTGAGCAGAAACCAGGCAGCTTCAAGATTCTTTCCAGAGGCACTGCTGTGCTTAAGAAAGGAGCTACTTTTTTTTTGTCCCAGACCTAGGCTGGTACCATTGAATCCTTTGTGGGTCTCAAGTCACACCTATCGGCTGGACTAATGCAGTAGTTCCCTTGCTGGATTCTCTTTCCTATTTTAATCAGAATTAGGTATACATGTATGTTTCTCAGTCTCCAAGACACTATAACCTCCACACCTTCCTGCAAAATATTTGATTTGAGGTTCTTATGTAAAAATCACATGCACTTACAAATTCAAGAATTCTACTCATACCTGTTTACACAAATATGGAAATGCAGAAAACAAAGAGATGCACTAGTGGCCCTAATAAGTGAATTAAAGTTGCATTAACATTTACCTCATTTATATCTCTGCTCATTATTATTTAGTAGCACTTAATGTGTACCTACTCTGTGCTTTGCACAATATAAGCCCTTTATATTCAGGCTCTCACTTAATCTTCTCAACAATTCAGGGAAGCAGCTGCTACTTGTTCCTCTTTTGCAGATGTGGAAACTGAAGCTCACAGACTTTAATCAACTGACCCAAAATCACCCAGTAAAGGGCAGTGCCACTGCCATAATAATACTGCTACCCACAACTTGAAACCATGATTATTTGTTCCTCTACAGAGAACAGAGGTCTTTATCTTATTATGACAATTACTGTAGATGGTAATAAATGATATGTTTTAATGTCATGGACATCTGTATAAATTTTAGATCTGGTATTTTTCTAAGGAGAGACACAAATTAAATCAATATTCTTTTGTCAATGACAGTTTTATCAAAATAATCCTTACTTGAACTAACAAATTATATTTTTTTCAGTATACAACAAATAGGGTCCATTGAATGACTTATAGTTCATTGACCCATACTTACCAACATTATTACTGCTCTTCCATTACAGTAACTGTATACCATTAATGGGGAAGGCACCAGGGAAGCACTCACACTGCATGCCCAAGGTCTATTTAGTTCAGGAAAGTTACTCTGTATGGAGGGGGAGTTAATATGAATTGATCTTGTGTTTGGATACCTTGAACAGAATACAGCAGGAAGATGATCAATCTTTCTAATTTCTTAGTTGACTTGTCACAGGGACAGATAAGAAAGTTACTAATTTCTTAAGCATGTTGTCATTCTATCTGTGGTCTAATTGCCCTCCAAAGAAATGCAGGATCTGGCCATATGGATGAGTCTAGAGAGAGGTTCTAGAATATCTTGAATTTAAAGTCTTAATTCATTAATAAGCTTATCTAAAGTGATTCTTGCCCTAACCTACCTGGGACATCACATTTATTAGGAGAGAAAACTCCCCAAAGTTCTGAAAGCACTTATCTATAAAGAAAAATGTGATAGATTCTACAGGATCACATCATAGAAGGAGGCTTGGTTTATAGGCTTAAGAAACTGAGTTAAAGGAGATGAAATCAAATTAAGATGCTCATACTCTTTGGCCATTCAACATTCTCCTGAAAGCATTTCTTCCCACTATGTTGGGTTGCCTTGACCACATAGCTCATTAATGGAATCACTTCTTATCTGAGTTTTCTGCTGCCTTAGGTGCATTGAGGATTACAAGCTTGGTGTGGATGGACGTTCTTGTCAACTCATTGCGGAGACATGCCCTGAAGGAAGTGACTGTGGGGAGATCAGGGAGCTTCCCATGAACCAGACCCTCTTTGGGGAGATGTTCTTTGGTTACAACAACCATTCCAAGGAGGTGGCTCCGGGACAAGTACTGAAAGGAACATTCAGGTGAATCTCATGTCTATAGAACTGATTATTTAGGGTTCTTGGTGGCTCTTTTTCCCTGAAGGTTTTAAACTAAGCATAATTTTATGTTTTGGAGCAAGGTAAATAGGATACTAAAAGGAAAGGTTATGTTCTTACCCTTGGACTTCTCCAAGTCTGCATTCTTCCTTCCAGAATCCAAGAACCATACTTCCTGTAGATGAACAGTGAAGTGCTAAGTAAAGCTTGACCTTACCCAGACAAGGACTGCAAGATTTTCTGTGCACACAACCCAAATGCTCAGGTTCTGTGTTCCCAGGGAGTAGAAGAATCAGTGTATGAATGAATCTAGAATAACAGCCTCAAGTATGGTACAACGATCCCTGAGGCTCCCTGGGATTTTTTTCATGGAATGGTCAAGCTCATGCCCTTTCCAACAATAGAGAAGCAGGATTTTCTTTATATACTTCAACCCAAACAATATGTATAGTGAGTTGAATGCAGAGGTGAGAACTCAGCTGTCTTCTATGAAGTAAGACATTCAAACATTGTGCAAAAATCACAAAATAATGTCATTTCTCTTATATATAACACATATATAACTTGTGAATATTTAATGGGTTTATTATTATTTTAAATGAATTAATATGTATTTTTTTAAGTTTCCCCAATTTTTTATATGATTTTTTTATATGGTAAGACTGATAGATACAATTCACATTAACAAAAGCCTCTTGGAGCCTTCAATTATTTTTACAAGTATAAAGAGATCTTGAGAACAAAACATTTCAAACCATTGATTTAAAATATTTGTAGAGATTCCCCATTTGACCCATGTATACATCTTCCCCTTAACCCATGCTTTCTGGGAGTTGATGATGGTGATGATGATGATGATGATGATAATGATGATGAAGAAGAAAGTATTATAATATGGACCAGAAGTTGATAGCAACCTGGGCCTAGACTCTTAGCAGGAAACAGGGAAACAGTAAATGTTTGAGCCAGTTCTTGGCGTCGATTGCTTTTTCTGTTACACACAGGAGACTTTACTAATATGTTCCCTTTGTTTGCCAAAGGCGAGCAGTGAGGTGTCATAACTAATCTTGTGTGGCTGAGTCCTCACTGCAGTCTAGAAATGAGAACATTGTTCCGATCTTGTGGAGCAGGAACTGGGATGAGAATGTGAAAAGAAAATTCAACCTTTTGTAAAAACCTTTGCTGGTGGCTTATTTTCTTATCTTCCCTAGCTCCCATCTTGCCTCTGTGTCTTACTCTAGACATGTACATCAGGTGGGGTCCAGAGGGAGGAGAGCTTTTTGGTCCAGAAAGAATGTTTTCATTGAGTTGAGATATAGGTTGTCTGAGGAGTGGAGTTCAGCTGAAAATCAGCTTCTGTTTCCAGGCAAAACAACTTTGCTCGAGGGTTAGATCAGCAACTACCAGATGGTCTTGTGGTGGCCACAGTCCCCCTGGAAAATCAGTGCCTGGAGGAAATCTCAGAGCCCACCCCTGATCCCGACTTCCTAACTGGTAAGTGTAATGCTTGACTTTATTTATTTATTTATGTACTTATTTATGTATCTATTGATTTTTACTTTTAAAAAAGTAAATTTTTTTGTCATATTAAAAAGTAAAATTTTTTTTGTCATATTCTTTTTTTGTGGAGGTAATATTGGTTGACAACAGTGTATATAATTCAGAGGTACAGGTTCACACTTCTTTAGATACCTGTTAACACACCAAACCCACCAACAAGACCTTATTTAACCTGCAAAAATCAGACAGCTCCCTATAGTTTCATAAAAATCAAGACTCTTGACCTCACTTGTTTGGAATTTGAAGCAGTGATTTCATTGCTAAAAGCTTAGTTATAACACTGAGCACTGATAGGATTATTTGTCCGTAAAATTGTCAATATTATTATCTCATCATCCGAAAATGGTCATAATAATACCTTTCTTTCCCCGCTAGTCTCATAAGGGTACTTGAAAACAAATGGGATAATACTGTAAGAGTTCAGAGCTCTGGGTAGAGTAGAGGAAGTGACCAGTTCTCAACAAAGGAGGAGAGAGAAAGTGGACTGCTGTCATAGCCTAAATATTTGTCACTGGCACCCACTGTGTTCCCTGAGGAGGTGTACGGAACAGGGTGAGGGAGCAGAAAATGATCAGGCACTGCTGTCACATGCCCCTGAGTTTGAGTCCTCACTCTGCTGCTTTCTAGCTGTATGAGCTCAGACAAAGCCCTCTCTCTTTGAAAGATGGAGATCACAACCCCATGCTGTTTTGAGCCAGGGCTGCTCCTTCCAGAGCTCATTATGGACTAAGGTGTGGATTAGTTGGAAGAGGCGGGATCCTCAGGGGGTGCTTCTTCTTTCTGCACCTCTGAATACCTCCCGTTGGTACCTCTTGGCCCAGAGAAGATGTTCCATTGTGTTCCAAAGACCCATAAGAGGCAGCCAATCAATCAAAAACCCAGCATCACTTGGTAGAATACCAGATATAAGCTCAATTCCATTGCTGTCTTTGTTCATTTCTTCATTACTTCGCTCCCTTCCTCATCTGTCTTTTCTATTCTTACCTTTCTTCAGTTTTTCCTTTCTTTTCTAAAGAATGGATTTTGCTAAGCGTAATCCTCATCCAGATATCCAGTTATATCCAAAAACTTAGCTTAAAACTGGATAGTATTAGAAGTAGGTCTTTCTGCAGCTGAGTACATCGTGATTATCGCGTGAGCTCTGGAGCCTTACAGCTGTGCTCAACTCCTCCGTGGCTATGTGTTCTTGGACAAATTACTTAACTTCTCTGTGCCTCAGTTTTTTCACTCATAAAGGTAATTATAATACTTCCTAGTAGGATTGATAAAGAAGAGATAAGTTAACTTTTGTGAAGTTTTTAGAACAGTTCCTGACACATACTGAGATATATGTTTCTTAAATAGATAAGTATGCCAAGGAAGAAAAAAATGATGAACAGTTGAACTAGCAAATAGAGTTGCCCTATAGGAAAAGGAAAGTGGGCAAAGAAGAAAACAAGTAGATATGTTATGAAACAATTCCGTTTCTCTCTGAAAGACTTCACACACACACACACACACACATACAGAGTGAAAAAAAAATTAAAATTAAAATGCAGCCTCTGACTCACCTCCTAAACCTGCATGTTCAGCATTAGGGAATCTCATTTTCTCATTTCCACATCATTACACTTCCCTTGCACGTGTAAAATGCCTTGTAAAGTATGTGTGAGATAGCGCCAGAAGATAGGGTAGCCGCCACCCCTCTTATAAATGACCTGCTTCTGTTTGAGATCCACTGGGAACTCTCTCTTACACATCATAACTTACTGTGGATATGAAAAGACGTGGCCTCAGTCACCAGGCTGGGAGGACCCCAAGTCCTGTGTGCTCCAGGATGTTTCTCAGGAAGGAGCGGATAGGTAGATTTTAGAAACATTAGAAGAGCATGCACTTGATTCTCTCTCTTTGGCAATACGGAAAAGATCCAAACTTGGTCCTCATCCACAATAGAAACTTGTTTCTTCTCTATGCCCTCAGACCTCTCTAGTTTGTCATATGGGAAGCAAGGAGTAAAAGGATATCCAGATGTGACACTTCTTTTTATCATGGGCCTGAAACATTTCTAAGAGTGTACAGAGAACGCTTCTTGACCTACTTCTTTTCTATCCAGCCTTTTTTGATCAATCATGATTAAAAGGTGGGTCTAGTTAGGCCAAGAAAATATATTAATATTTGATATAAGAAGGAATCATTCTTGTTTTTTCAAAGCCCAAAATAACTAGAAGAATCAATTAAAGAGATGGTTGACCAAATTTCTTCCATATCAGATCTCCAGCTCTGGTAATGTTTTAATTATACCTTTCTTGAGCATCACACAGAGATTATCATGTTATGTCATACCATGTGCTGTTTTAGGTCATAGTGCCCATGAACCTGCAAGCTTAGAAGATTTTAGAGCCAGAGTGATACTCAGAATCTTCCAGATCAGCATTTCTAAGTATGGTTTGTTTGTTTTCATGAAAAAACAGTGCTTCGCTCAATTACTTTTGGAAAGATCTTAATATCCACCTCTCAGCAATTCACAACCTCTTAGCATGGAACAGACACCAAGAGGCCCACAGGACAAGAAAATTCCCTTTTACTTTACTTAACCTGGCAATTTCAAATCTGTGGGACTAGACACTTACACACAGCACCTATTTCCATCTTGCAGAATGACTGGTTTGAAGAACATGCTGCAAATATTCATTTATGTGTTTATCTTACTGATGCCTTCCCCTTCATCAAAATAACAGTTAGGAACGCTGTGCCCCACTGACCTTTTTGTGTTGCAAGTTGTATGGAAATAAATGAAGACCAACCAAATGAGAACAGGCGAGGCTGTTTATTCAGATCTTGCTAGGAAGGGGTCAGCCACCGTCCAGCTTTTGGGCAGAGACTAGAGGGCAGGCAGAGGAATGGGAAAGTTTTTATTTTATTTTAGAGTGGAGAAAAAGTGCCTTTCTGATTGAAACTGTTGGTATGTAAGTGGGTCAACTAACTAGGAGCGACCCCTGTAATTGGTTAGCAGGTATATTTGGTTTTCTCTGGTTGAACCTAAGTTGGAAGAAAGAACAAAAATAGGGAGGCTTTCAGGTATTAATCAAGGCTTGGTCATAGGGGACCACTTGTTATAGGGGTTATTGTTTGGCTTCCTGGACTGTTTGCTGGAGATAGTTAGTTATATGACTCCCTCATATCAAACTTAGAGATAGAAGACTAGATTCTTGGGCTCATTACTGGAGATAACAGATTGGTTTCCTGGGCTGGTTGCTGCCAACTATGGCCCAGAGTTCTATTGTTGTCTATGGTCTGGCCATTATCTTTGTATTTTCTTTCCCTCACTTGAGAAAAAGAAGTGATCCAGAGTCCAGACCAAGGAGGTAGAGGAGACTGCTTGCTACATTCATAGGCTCAGCAAGTGCCACACTCACTAAGTCTTTCTGCACTTTTGGAACTCTGAGCTCTTGGGGACTTCCTCAAGTTCATGCAAAAGAAACAGACTCTTGGCTGTAGAACTTTGGGGATAATAGGTCCCCCTGACATCTCAAATCAAGTAACAAAAGAAAACTTCCTTTCTTCCTGTCTCCTTCCTCCTTTTTTCCTCTCTCCCTCCTCTCTCTCTTACTTTCTTCCTTCCTTCTTGATTATACATAGCTATATTTAATCATCCCCTTTTCAAGCATAAGTAGGGGGAAAATAATGTTTTTCCTTGAGAAAGCATTTCAGATATATTTCATTTGAAAAAAAAATGTCATTGAGAAACATATTCCAAATAATAATAAAATAAAAAACTAGAGCTGACAGCATGTCAAGGGCACACTGAAGAAGAATCCTATGACTCAGCTAGAAAATAAATACTTTCAAAATTCGCGTTCTTTTTAACTAACCAGGATATTATCCTGTAAGTGGGCACAGAGCAACACTGCGGAGCATTAACGGTTATGTAACCATTTTCCTGACTAATGCGTAGCATAACAGCACTCAGTAGAATTGTTGCTTAGCAGTTAAGTGAGGGGTTCAGTTGTTTGGCTCATCCTTAGTGAATGTGGGCCACTGCCAACCCTCCCCAACCAGACAGCCATGCTTTCTTTGTTTATCCTTCCCCCCTGTTGTTTTAAACTAACGCTTGGGAATTTAGAACAATAACATCAATTAAGAAATGTCAACTTGACACAATTTGCTGAGGTATGGAGGTAGGGAGAGGTATCTCCATAATAATGATATTATGGAAGCCATGCCTATATACGGTGCTTTGTCTTTTCTCAATGTATTTCTATACCTGTAATTTCATTTTGTTTTGACAATCTATGTGTAAATTAGGCACAGCGAATGCTGTTATCCCCACTTTGCAGACATGAAAACAGAAACAAAGGAGTTGCCCAACCCAAAGTTACACAGCTGGTCGGAATCACAGACTTGAAAGAGAAGCAAGAGGTCATCTCAGCTAAGTCCCTCAATTTTCAGGTGAAACAAGTGAGATCCAGAAGATCCCCTAGTCAGGAATTCAGAGAAAGGAAAGGCAGGCTGGGGTGACCCATGGGCAGTCAGAAGCTGTCCCCACAGTGATACGGAGTCTTAGCACTTATGCCTCCACATCTTTTCCCATGGAAACAACTCAGCTAAAGGGAATGCTTTTTTAATGTATTGAAAAATCTTCATTGATTAGACTTGCTGTTTTGTTTTTTTGCTTATAGACTTTTTGGATAAGAGCAAACTAAATAGAGGATGACATTACATAGCATGTGTCTATAAAGCATGCATGTTTTATGTTCTAGTGAAGTCTGTGGCAGGAGTCAAACTTGTAAAGTTTGAGTTTCATTTGTATGCATTTAAAATCACAACTAGGGGTCTCCCTGGTGGTCTAGGGGTTAAGTCTCAGCGCTATCACCATGGTGGCCTGAGTTTAATCCTGACCAGGGAGGTAACCCACATGGCACAGCAGACCTCTCCTGTCTTACCTGCTGCTCCCCTCAGCAGTGTATTTCAGTCAGTCTGTCTGTTCTGTTCCCCACTCTGTCTCTCGTGAGTCCTCTCACCCCCCACACCTCTGGCCTACACCCCTGTTCTTCTACGCAAAAATAAATAAATAAAAAATCTTAAAAAAAATAAAATAAAATGATAGTCAGGTTAAAAACCAGAGAATGTCATAATGTGATTGTATTCACCAAGTTTAATGCCCTAAAAGAAGAATATTCAAAAGAAAAAGTACCGAAAGACTTCTCTTAGATTCGGAGAACTTGTCTTCGATTGCCAGAGATAAAAATTGAAGCAATTGATTCACTAAGCACCTCTCCTGACCTTTTCCCTTTTGCCTTACCAATAATTATCCCCATATGATTCACACAGAAATAGAAATTTGGTAATTACTAAGCTAATTTGATCAGAGTTGACAAGTAGCTAATTAATCCCACCCACTGTTCATTCAGTTTAGGTATTTCTTTAGTTGATTTAACTGGAAGGAAGCATGGGTCAAAATGGCAGGATAATTCACTGTATGTTATTGCCATTATATTTACACACATGTTTATTCTCCAGCTATCTTTCTGTCTATCTAAATTTGCTATGTATATTGCCATTATGTATATTTTCATAAATACACATGTGTGTATTTATGCATATGTGTGTTCACATGCATGCATATGTGTATTCACGTATATCGGCATATATATATTATATATATATAAATATATATATAATATATATATTCCCCATAACTTAGCAAACATTAGGCATAGAAAAGAAGCTATGTTGGTTTTCTAAATTTAGCAAGGTAATTTTTTTTATTTCCTGTGGCCTAATTATTTTGTTTCTGTAGCATTTTATATTTATAGTATCGGCTAGAATTCAAATAGGGTCTGACACACTTCCTCCAAGGTGCTCAAACAAGAATAGCCCATTATAACATCTCTAAGAGGCTACCAGGATGTGTTTGTTGAGAGTGACCTTGGACAATGACCTGGCTTCTCAGAATCTCAGTTCTTCCATCAGTAAAGGGGGAACCACAGAGAAAGGGTCTGTCACTGTCTGGCATGCAGATGGTGTTGAGCTCAGGGCCTGCCTGCTCCTTGATGACTTAGTCACGCTGACACTGTCCCTCCTGGTAAAAAGAAATAAGCATTATCAGCCTCAGAGTAATTAAAACTTAAATACTGAACACAAATCAGTTAAATGGGACAGAAAAATCAATGTTATCAGGTTGTGAGCTAAGTCAATTACTGCAACTATTAAAGAGAGTAAAAATCTGGAGTGTTACAGTAAGCCTGGAGTTCGTATAAATTTATTAAGAGAATATTAGCATAGAATGGTTAAGAGCCCCTGCTAGTCTCAGCTGCCTCTGGAGCACCATCCTGACTCTTCATGATGACTCGGGACCTTATACAAACATATCTCTAAGCCTCAGTTTCCTTGTGCATAAAATGCAGATATAATACGTATCTCAGAAGATTCAAGTGACTATATATGCAAAGCACTTAGCAAAATAGTTGAGCAAGAGTTTAATAATTGATAAGTGCCATTACTATGACTCCAGAAACTCCATCAGGGAGAGTTTCCTCACAATGACACCCCCATGCATTACACTTAGGGCTTGTGAATCCATGCCCACTTTGAGTCTGTGTCTCCTCTGTCCCTAGGGATGGTGAACTTCAGCGAGGTGTCGGGGTACCCGGTGCTGCAGCACTGGAAGGTCCGGTCTGTGATGTACCACATCAAACTCAACCAAGTGGCGATCTCTCAGGGTGAGCACAGCGGCACGCTCTCCCTCCTGCCTGCTTGCAACTCCTTTCCAAGGGCACAAGCCTCTTATCCCATTGTTGAAGAGGTGGTCTAAACTGTAGCTGTGCTGTCAGATATATAACCTGTTCATTCAGATTCACCCTAAAGGGCAAAGGGCTGGAATCAGATCCTTTTCTAAGTATAGATAAAATTGCAAGTTTTATCTTGGACTACAGAAGAGTTAGAAAGGGCAAGGTAGGAACCACTGAAGATAAACACCTACTTTAGTATTTTTTTCCTGGGATCACGCAGTGTGTAGAGAGGATATACAAAAGCAAATATTTTTATAAATTGACAGAATGAAATTTTCCAAATGCAGAAAGCATCACTGAGAGTTTCCACACAATGAAGGAAATAGGGGAAAGAAAATAAGAAAGAAGGAGGGGTAAGGAATAATAGAAAATAGCTAAGTTTCCAAGCCAGCGAGATAGATAGAGAAAGGTAGCTAGATTATAGATAAATGGATAGATAGGTGATTGATAGTGATGGATGACTGTGGGATTTAGGATAGACAGAGTTTTATCTATATCAATAGGAGGAGTAAATTCCAAACTTACTTAGAACAAATTGTTCCAAAACAGAACAGTGAGTCTCCTTATATAAATATTCTTTAAAATTTTAGAGAAATGCCTTGAATCAAACATTTCCTAACAGTTGAGCAATTCCAATGTGCAGTTGGCAAATGGGAAATTTCTTATAAATACAAATTTAATAGAGATGCATATCTCTATTCCATTTCATCCCCATGGACTAGCAGAATATTATTCAGCATCTTCTTCTGAGTCTATCTAGAGAATATAGCAGACCTGAAGTTTATGCTACAGAGTCTGGCTTCTATGTGTTAGATTAAAAGGGAAATGATATTGGGGACATGGGATGACAAGACAAGGAGAAAAGCCTTAAGATCAGCCATAGGGAGGCAGAGACTTAGGGCCAACATGACAGAAACGCAGGGCAGAGACACAGAGTTATGAAGACAAATGAGACATACCCTCATAAAGGGTGAAACTTTGTACTAGAGAAAGAAAATGCTTCAAGGATATAGAACATTTCCATAGGACACAAATAGACTCAGATCTTTTTTCAAAACAGGAAAAAACTTCTTGGAAAGAGAGTTTGGGATGGGGATCTTACTAAAATAAACTCTGCTGGTACAGAAAACTGCTAGAAAGATCATTCACCCAGCATGGGTGCTATGTATATCGGGGCTTAGCAAGGAGGCAGCTCTATTGCCACTTGTCTTCAAAGTCATACCTGGCATCCCAGGTAATGTGGACTTCACCACTTGGGGGCTTATACCTGGGCCAGACCCTGCCTTGTCCCAACAGGACAGAGGTATGTAGAAAGGATGATTATATAATGCTGCCAAGTCCAGAAGATACTGGATTTGGAAATGTTGCCTTCGGTTATTGTTCCGACAAGTATAATTCTCTTCAACAGGGAAAACAAATCCAAGATTTGACTAGGAAGAGGGTGAGGAGAAAATCATGTCCTTTCTGCCATTTGCCATTTCCTAGTCCCTATCATTATCTGAAATAAATAGAAAAAAATGTTTTAGTGACCCTGTTTACCTTTCTCTTTCCACAATTTTCCGATTACCCACTTCTGAGTTCATATTGTACAGACTGTTTTGGTCACTACCTACAGTGAGAATACCTTTCCTCCCTGACCTTGTACACCCACACTCCCACATGCATGCAGCTGAAGTGTCATGAAGCAATACTATATTTAATGAAGGAAAATGTTCTCTGCTGGTATTTTTGTTTCTATTTTAGATTATTTTATTCTTCCCCTTTTCCCTGCAAAACTATTATTTGAGCTCACTAAATTGATTTAATGACATGACTTGTGATTTGGGGAAAAAAAAAAGAACAACAGTGTTGCTTTAGCAGGGGATGGCGGAGATCTGGCAATGTTTTACTTAACAGTGCACCAAGTTAACAATATAACCAACTAGCTTGAAGACATAATCATTTAGGAATTGAAATGTCTGATTTTGCTAAATGAAAAAAGCCCCTGACAGTCCCAGCCTGCTCTCAGCATCACTTTGGGTGACACAGGCTCCTCCACGTTTGAAGTTGAAGCCCCTAGGAACCCAGATACTCGCCTTGTGTGTCCTCACGTTACTCTTGGCTGATGTTTTCTTCTAGCCCTCAACAATGCTCTCCACTCCCTTGATGGGGCTACATCTCGTGGGGATTATGTGGCTTTGTTGGACCAGTTTGGCAATCATTACATCCAGGAAGCCATATATGGCTTTGAGGAGTCCTGCTCCATCTGGTACCCAAACAAGCAGGTCCAGCGGCGACTCTGGCTGGAATATGAAGACATCAGCAAAGGTGAGTGACATGTTTACCAGCAAACTCTGCACCCTATGCCAGTAATGCCCACTTAGGTGTGATCTATGGGACCAAACTAAAGTATTCTGAAGGCAAAGGAATCATTTAGATGTTGCTTCATTGCTCTGTGCCCCTTCTTAAAATTGCCAGGGTTTGGTTATTAAAACTGAGTCTCAAAATGGAGGTATTTGTTGAAACTTCAGGTGCTGATGTGGTCAAAACTGTATGGCCACATTGTTAGTTATTAGAGAATGTCCTCTAGGATGTGGCTACCCTGCATTCTGCCATCAGAGCAAAGGCTAAGCGTTAGACTGTTCTCAGGGAGTAGGGGAGAAAGAGTACTTCAGTCTCCCTCACTATTTCCTGCCTCCAACCATCCCAACCCACAATGGCTGGCAACCCCTTAACTGTAACTGCACAGTAAACCCCTTCTAGCTCCACCTGCCCTGTGTGGCCCATTTTGCTACTGATCTGTGCTATGGGGATATTCCTATTGGCCCAAGTGCTCGTATAGGTCTGGATAACAGCCTCACATATAAATGCTTGCCCACAGTTTTGATGACAAATTAGTATTCAGTCTAAGTAAGAGGAAGAAATTTGAACTTTCTGAACTCACCTTCTGGTATTGGAGGTGAACTGGCTGGTAAATTTGTATTCTGATCAATCAAGGCTGGTTTGCCATTCGTGGACTTTCTTCTCCTGAACTTACCCTCATGGCATTCTGACGAGGCCACATTGTGGATGTGTGAGTTTCTAAAGGCCAAGGGATGAAATTAGCACAACAAAAACTCAAGAAGTAGGTCATCCTGAGATTTAATGATCAAGGTCCCTCTGAGACCAGGGACCCTCTGCTGTCAGCAGTTCTGCAGTGAGGGAATGCACCCTCATGGCTGAGATGCCCTTGGTCCTCCTAGCTCCTGTTTTGTCTTCTCAAGAGGTAGTGGAGGCACAAGAGCCTGTCTTTCTGGCTGGGCATTTTCTTCCAGAAGAAGCTAGAATCTTATATCTGGGCTGCAGTTATTACAGCATTTCATCTCAAGCTTTGATTCCTCTAAACCCAAAGGCATGGTAACGGCAGACTTCTGGTATCTCTTCAAACTTGAGCATCTTAAAATTGTTCTTATTCCAAATTACTAAGAAAAGAGTGTCATGTAAGCAAATATAGATAAGACCAGTTCCAACTGGCAAATCTTTCTTATGCTTCTATGCCAGAACCTCACAGTTAAACCAAAGGGCTAAATCCGCCTCGATTTCTGTTTGACAACGGTTCAAGGATTGTCAGGCTCAGGGGCTCCTGAGAGATGAGAGTGAAAGTCTGACCTTCCCCAGAATTCCTGGCATTTTCCCTTCTTCTATCCCAAGCACTGAGGAGGAAGTTTGTCCATGGCCTTGGCATGATGCCCAACCCTTCTTGATCTCAAGCCATTCTTACCATATGGCAGCAAGTTTTTTCACAGTCCAACTCTTGCCTTTAGTTTGTATAAATATGACATATGCATTGCCCGCCCTGTGCTTGTTATCAATGATAAAAGACATCCAAACATTTATTTTAGTATGTTTATGTTGGCTTCCATTGTCTATGTAGCCACCCCACCTACCCAGCCACTTCCAAATCTTCCCTCTATATCCTAGGGTTTATCTCTTTTTTTGCTTGGTCTGATTCTCACTGTTAAATATTTTTCTTCTCCCAGAACACTAGTGTCCTTTTATTCCTGTATAAAAGCATGTGACCAATTAAGAATTAAGAGCGCATAAGACAAAGAGAAGTTTCCTTCCACTTTTCTGCACTCTGAGAGAATGGGATTTATATACCAGTAGCAACAAGCATTCTGAGAGGGCTTCACCTACCATGACATACAAGTGACACTGTTTTGGGCTTAAATCCCTTGATTATATGTTCTTTCCTTCTCTAACTTTAAAAATCTTTCTAGTAAAGAGTTTACTTATACTTTCCTTCTGATGACCAGATACCTAAAATTAGGCATGGATTGAATAGGAAAGAAGGTTTTCCAAGGGTGTAATGAAATGAAAGAAATACAGGATTTAGGGGTTGCTACTCCAGAGTCAACCAGGTGGGAATCAAATCTGTGAGGTCTTCTGTGGTCCCTTTTAGCTCTGATAGTTTAAAGAGCCTTATGAGTCCTTCTTTATGTAAAAAGCTTTCTCAGGTTAGGCATTTGTGCGGGTTTCCTTTCAAATTAGTGTTCTGTGGGTAGATCACTATTTACAATCACCAAAATATGGAAACAACCTAAATTCCCACAAACAGACAAGTGGATCAAAAAGTGTGGCGTATATACACAATGGAATATTACTACTGGTCAAAAAAGAGAAACTTAGCCATTTGCAGCAACCTGGATGGACCTGGAAGGCATTGTACAAAGTGAAATAAGTCAGAAGGAAAAAAAGATAAATATTGTATGGTTTCATTTATGTATGGAATATGGATAAACCAAACAGAAGGTCAAGAAAAAAGCAAAACTCACAAGATGACCATAGATCTGGAGGGTATAGCAGGGGAGGTGGAGAGAGAGAAGTCAAAACAGGGCAGGGGAGAGCATAAGAGACTATGGAGACAGATCTTGGGTGATACGGTAGCAGGAGAACTACAGGGACTACACCTGAGAGAAGAAATCAATTACTGTACAAAAATGAACAATGATATATAAGAAAATAAATAAATAAATTTAGAATAAATAAATAAATCACTATAAAATGTCTCAGTGTAGATGTTATGTCTTAGTCCACTTTAAACTTCAAGGTGCTGGGCCTCCCCGGTGGCGCAGCGGTTGAGCGCTGGGTTGCGAAGCTGCCCGCAGCCTCTGCAGCGCTGGTTCAATCCCCGGCTGCTCCCCGGCCACCGGAGGAGGGTCCCACATGGCGCGCAGACCTCTCCTGCCGCCCGCTGCTCCCCTCAGCAGTGTACTTCGTCCTTCTGCCTGCTCTGCTCCCCGCTCTGGCTCTGGTGAATTCTCTCACCCTCCCGCGCTTCTGACTGTACCCAGTGCTTGTATAAATAAATCTTTTTTAAAAAAACAAAAAAACAAAAAACTCCAAGGTGCTTAAAGGTCTAATACAGAGCTGGGCACATTAGGTAAGCCCTGGACAATTGTTTATTGTTGCTGCTGCTTCTTAGTGATGGTGGTGGTGGTGGTGGTAGTGTTATAGGGCAGCCCCGATATTGAACGGGTTCCTGGCTGTGGGTCCTCACCCGCGCGCTTACAAGGGACTTATGAATACTCCACTATAGGCACACACAAAAAGGTTAATAAAAGGTTTATTTACAAGGGAAAAGGAAATAAGGAAAATGTACAACTCAGGGAGAAAATAGGGAAATAAAGTCTTTAATGCATCCTACCCGATCCGCCGACCCGGAAACCCAAAAAGCAGCTGGCCAGACGCTGCGAGCTGGCCAGACGCTGCGAGCTGGCGGAGAGTCAAAATGGGGGACCCCTCCAAAGCCCACGTGTCTGGCTTTATACCAACCTGGCTGCTTAACCCCACCCTCAGGTCCCAGCCACCTTCCCTTTGGTGGTGATGGGATTTGGAGTTCCCAGTGTCTTTGGCTTTGGCCTGGGGTGGGGGTGGAGTCCACAAAGCCTGTATGGAATTAGCTTTAGGACATCCTTTTCCCCCTAACAATTGTAATGACAAAGTCTGATGCCAGACTCCCCATGTGGGTTTTTTTTTTTAAAGGTTTATTTATTTATTTATTTATACAAGAACCGGGGTACAGGCCGAATGTGTGGGAGGATGAGAGGATTCACCAGAAACAGAGCCGGGTACAGAACAGGCAGACTGACAAAATACACTGCTGAGGGGAGCAGCAGGTGACACAGGAGAGGTCTGCCTCGTCATGTGGGACCCTCGCCGGCAGGCCAGGATCAAACTGGCACTGCAGAGGCTGTGGACAGCTTCACAACACTTTGCTCAACCACCTGCACCACCAGGGGAGGTCCCTCCCCATGTGGGTTTACTGTAGATATGCAAAATGCCTGAGTTATGCTTGACCAAAGAAAAACCAGATATGTCTGTTTTAACCAGATCTTCAGAAGACATTTATTTGGCATGCTACCACTCTGTGGTTTGGCCATACCAACATTTAGGAACCCCTGTCTCTAAATGGGTCTGACTGAAGCCTATGAAAAATTCCTTCCATACCTTGTAGCCTAAGATTAATGTGTCTTAATGGTTTTACTTACAGAACAAATAAACACTATCAAAAGTGAACTTTCCCAACCTCCTGTCTCTCCAATTCTAAACTTTTTTATATCTTCTCTCATCCTCTGTTGCCCTTATGCCTCAGAACATGTCAGAAGTTCCTCCACTCCAGGCTAACCTCCCCACAGGTAGCCTCACTCCCTCCCCTCTCTGCTGCCTCTTCAACTTCACTCACTCATTAATCTTCTTCTTTTAAATTATTACAACCTCTTCAGCCACTGAATTATCGCTTCCCTGACCTTATGTCTTTCAAGAAAATAATCTTTTTATAAACATGCGGCTCTTTTACCACTGTCTTCTCTTGAACCGGCACTTATTTGTCATGTTATTTGGTTTCAATATATCACCATCAAATTTTTTGAGTGAGTAATTTCTACACCTTTTCTCTACTTCCTCATGTTCCTTTGACTCTTCAAAGGCATGCTTTCAACAGCTTCCTTCCAAAGACATATCTCTGTTCTTCACATGAATAGCAAAGAAATCAGGAACTTCTTAGCGAGAGGTTCATGTGTCTGGTGGCCATTTTCTCAATCTCAGATGAGATTGACCAGCTCTGCCTTCTCCAATTTTTCCTTCCCTTGGTGTCCCTGAAGCTATTCTGTTTGTACTTTATCTTTTTTTTTTTTTTTAAAGATTTTATTTATGTATTCAAGAGCTGGGGTATAGGCCAGAGGTGCGGGAGGGTGAGAGGATTCACCAGAGACAGAACTGGGAGCAGAACAGACAGACAGACTGAAAGCCCTGCTGACTGGAGCAGCGGGCGAGACAAGAGAGGTCTG